ATGTGTCTACCAATTCACAGTCAATCTATAAAAAGATATTTTAGTCCGATTGAATTTAATAAACTACTTAGAAAAATGAAAAATTATTATTAAATTAAATGAAATATATTTCTTTTCAGATGAATTTATTATTAGTTATTATCACATTGATAATCGATATTAGTTCTGGTCAATTTTCGGCTCCTATCTCAGACCATGATGCTTATGGTCTTAAAATAACTGGTAATGATATAATGCTGGTTGAAGCATTAGATGATACTCAAATATTTGTTATTCAATTTGCTCCTTACAATTCTACATCACAATCACATCAGTGTTCTCTTATGTACAATGATTCTACTCACTATGTATATTCTGTAGGTATTGGTGAAAAACAAATGTTAAATCAGTTATATTTCTTTTATGTTGGAGAAATTCTATCAAACAATCCATCGACCACTAATTTATCAGGTTCTAGAAGTACCTTTATCGGTATATTAATTAATAAAGATCCACAAAATGCCCAAATCTATGAAGATACACAGACATTAATCAACTGCAATTATTTTGAATATCAATCGCTTCAATTTATTCCGTCTTATGGTCATCAAGAATTTGTTGTATTTGGTGTTGAACCTTATGGTCAATATGCGATTGGTTTAGCAAAAGATTTTCTTTTTATTTATCGTCCATTCTCTGATAAAATGATAGAAATAAAGAATAGTAGTCTTGTATGGCCTAATAATACAATATTTATGCCTATGGCAGCTGACACAGATATTTCTTATACAATTGTTGCTGGTTTTGTTATTAATGGTCCTTTATTTCGAGTACGTGCAACACCAACAGTCTATATTATATCAAATTCTAATCTGACCATCTTAGCAACATGGTCATATACAGCTATACTTAATTCATGGCAATCTCATTTAACTTATTCAAATTTTAAGACCTGGTCAAACAAGTATGTTATGTCGATTAATATCAATATTAATGATCCTAGTCGAATTCTGGTTGGTATGCCATTTCTTAATATAGTATTTTTATTAATCGTTAGTTTAAATGGTAGCAATTTAACACTTGATAGTTTTGTCGATAATGGAGATTTAAAAGGATTCGGTAAGAGTGTTACATGGTTATCGAATTCTGAAGCAGCAATATTAAGTTCAAATTATCCAGGAGATGATTTCTCGAAAATTTACTTCTATAAATCATTGAATAATAGAAGTTTGCCATTATTACCTTCTGTTATATTTCCTAATATTCAACAAACTTTACCAACAACAATTAATGCTCATTTCATTCGAATGATTTCAACACCAACTTCACTTGCTATACTTGATATTCTTGGTGAAATTCTTCTTATTTTATCTTCACCACCTGGATATTTTGCATCGACAAGTTCATCTATAGCCGATTCAATACTTACTGTTAGTCAATCAATGATATGCATGGCTGGTACATATAAAATGGATAGTAGTATTTTTCCATGTTCTCTATGTCCAAGTGGCACACAAAATTCAGGTAGCCTTCCAGTTAGTTCATGTATGATTTGTTCATCAAATAGTTTTTGTCCAATGGGAGCTGTAGCTGATATAAATAGAAGTTTTCTTCTTCCACAGTCACAATCAAATATTCATCCACGTTCACGTGAAGTTACTGCATTCGATGAAATTCTTCTTCAAAATATGTTTTCAAGCAGTGCAAATGATCATTGTCTTTTCGTTTCACCTCTTTTTTGGGTATTATTGGTTATTGGTATCGTTTTTATCATATTACTCGGTATGGGTATACTCAAACAATATGTTCGACATCCTAGAAGTCATCAAGTGCGTCATCATGTCAAGGAAATTTTTCGAAAAATTGATCTTATCGTTAGTATTCTGAAAAATATTTAATCTTGTTTTTAATTATTTTGTTTTCTTTTTTTTCACTAGAATGAAGGCAAAATGTGGATAGGTGGATTGGTTTCACTTGCCATTATAGTTCTTCTTTCGTTTGCTTATACGTTTTCTATTCGTTTTTATCAACAATATCCATCACACAATAGTGCTCCATCGACATCTGCTTGTGATGAAATAATTCATAATGTTAAATATGAAAGTGGTTTACAATCACTTTCGATTACAGCATCGAAAGAAGAACAACCTATGTTTGATCTTCTCAATAAACAACACTTTATTCTTCGTGTGGAACTATTAAATACTATTGCTTCATGTAAAAGCTTGTCCGTTCAGCAAATTCTTGGATCAGCAACATCTAAAGTAATCTTTACTTGTACAGATTCGATTGGAATTCTAACAGCTGCTATTGAATTAGCCTATCAAAAAACAATAATCAAATGGATTCTTAATGATATTGCACTTATCGGAGCTGTACGTATCAGTCTTTCAGCTAATGGACAAGAAAATGAATTGTATCGATTAAAAAACCTCGATTTTAGTCAAACATTTTATGATGATTTAAATCGAACACTGGCTCAAATGGCGACTATTAATCTAAAATTGACCAAGGTTATTTTTTTTCCATATAGTAATGAATTTTTTTTTATTTTTTTCTTCGTAAAACAAATAGGCAATCAATGAGACTGAACCACTTCGAGGACATGAATCCTCATTTTCGGGAATTTGGTATCCAACATTTATGATGAGCGAAGATCATGTGTTTATCTCATCTGAAGAATATGATATATCAGCGAATCTTACATCGACTACATTGACTATTGTATTAAGTGAAACATCCTACTATATCAAAAATCGTCAATTACCTATTGCTAAACTACGTGAAATCATCTTTCATAATCTTCTTTTTACAGTTGTTTGTCTAGAAATTTTTCGTCTCCTTATTCTTCTTTGGGAACTGACGATTATGCCTCTATTGAATTTTATAATGAGACACTTACAAAAAAAGAATGAAATCGTATTAATGAAGATTGAAGGTACTGATGCTGATACAATAATAGACGATCATGATACAACACCAACAGACGACCATCAAAGAACAAATGATCATGGTACAACAACAAACGATTACAATGTCGTCGAATTGAATTTATGAATAACGAAGTTCCTTCTATAATATTTTTCCTTGTAAAGATTCTTGTTCATTGGTTTTCATTCCATATTTAAACATATACTTTTGTTTTGACAGCTAGTACTGTCGTAATAAATAGTTTATTTTTCACTGATTAGAATTTCTGCACGTTGGTGCTTTTATAGATTTCAATTACATATATCTTCTTCTGTCGAAATGTCTATCACAATTGATGAAAAGAGCAAAAGAACATCGAGCATGGGTGTGGGTTTGCATTAAAAAAAGGACACTTACACTCACATCCGTCTACCTCTTTTCAAGAAAAATTTTTCCAGTAACTATGAAATTTATGAACTTTTTTCTCAAGAAATACTGGAAGAGTCCATACGAATTTATGCGAAAAAATGGCATCAATAAAGACAAAGATTCTGGAAAAGCCAAATGTAGAAGATGATTTTATAACTTTTCAGTACTGTATAAAGTATCTGGGCTACTACATTTGGTATGACCTAAGTATATCACAGAACAGATTTGAAATCAATATGTTTTATATAATCCACTTTGAGATATTCTATGTTCGGACACAAATCCAAAATGAGATAAAAAAACTTCAATTTAGTTCAAGATCTCTAGATATACTTTTTTTTGGCTTTGCTTCTACTTGTTATTGAACGTAAAATAATATATTCTTCAAAGCTTAAATCTTCTCATTCATATAATGATAATGAATGGATTTTTAATTTAGTAAGTTCTGGTAATAAATATATAGTTTCATTTAATGGATCAATATGGATTTCTTCTTCTCAAATTTCCAAATGATAAATTTGTGCTACAGGCAAAATGCATCTAATATCCAACATTAGAGGTTCGTCAAAACTATTATAATCAATAAATTTGATGTTTAATCGAGTAGATTTAGCATATTCAGCAGAAGAATTTAGAATTTTATCTTGTATACATTCATACCACCTTCTTCTAAGAGATGAATACAAAAAAAAATAATCTATTTTAAACAAACAAATCTTCTCAATTAGAGACCTGCGTGACCAGTTCGTCGGGACCAAAGAAAAATAAGATTGTTCGGTAATAGGGTGTGGGTATGTGAATTGTTTGTGAAAAGAAGAGTGTAACACCCACACCGTCGCCCTCACTCTCGTTACCAGTAAAAGCGCTACTTACCCACTTTACCGATTTTTTCATCAAGTCTCTCGTCAACCGTGAGGTAAGAAAATTTAGATGTATACGCTCTCTTTTCCCATTGTGGAAAGCAATGAGTAAATAGAATAATGCTCGTCTCGTGTTGTTATCTCGTCCTAGTATCTTTTACGAATCGACGTAACAACGTCTGTATATAAGATTCGACCAGAACGCTGCAATGAGCAGTTTTATTTTCCTTTTATCAACTTCATTACATCATGCAAAATCAAAATATATTTACGATCGTTTTCATTGGGGTTTTAGCGAGTATTTCTTATTGTACTGGAGATACATGTTATTGCAGATGCTGTTCTGGCAATTTCTGTACGCCAACTTTGCAAGGTACCATCTTCATTTCATCATGTGCTTCGTCTGATTGTAAGTCAATGTGTCAAGAAAAATATCCAACACAGTGCACAAATCAAGGGGGAAACAGCGGACTTCAAGACTTCAAGACTTCAAAAGACTTCAAAAGACTTCAACAGACTTCAACCGCAGTGACTTCATATTTTCACAAGACTTCAAAAGAGTTCTAAAGAGTTCTGAAGACTTTATAGGACTCCAAATGACTTCACAAGACTTTATAAGACTTTATAAGACTTTGTATGACTTCATAAGACTTCATGAGACTTCATGGGACTTCAAAAGACTTCGTGAGACTTCACGGACTTCATGAGACTTCACGGATTTCATGAGACTTCAGAGACTTTGTAGGACTTCTTGAGACTTTATAAGACTTCTTGAGACTTTATAAGACTTCATAAGACTTCACAAGACTTCATAAAACTTCAAGAGACTTCATGAGATTTCAAGAGACTTCATGAGACTTCAAGAGACTTCAAGAGACTTCAAGAGACTTCAAGAGACTTCATGAGACTTCATGAGACTTCAAGAGAATTCAAGAGACTTCATGAGGCTTTATGAGACTTCATTAGACTTCATGAGACTTCATTAGACTTCATGAGACTTCACAAGACTTCACAGGACTTCAAGAGGCAGATTCCATGCGTATCAAAAAACCTTATAGAAATTACATGAAATTTCTATAACATGCAAAAAACAAAACTTATCATATAGAGATTACAAAAGTGTTTCTTGTTTCTGAGAATTGTTTCTCGCAGTATATCCATATCTAGAATAAAGATGTGACAATGACACAAAGCGTTGATGAAATTAAAACAGAGAAAATAAACTTTACTGGTATGCGTATGTTTGATTCGATTAATCCAGCATTGGAAAACTCCTATTTTCAGGTGCAAATAAATAACAAGACTAAATTTATACACAAGCAAAAGACTTGTTGGTTATTGACCGACAAAGCTGGCCGTTTTTCGGCTGATAGATTATCACGAGTGATAGAAATAAACAAAAAGGAATAAAATTCTTCATAAGATTGACATCGAATAAATGAAACATTTCTTATAAAAATAAACCACTTCATTCACAAAGCATTCAGTTCTTAACTATCATGTTTTCTAAGATCCAACAAACTTGAATTTTTTTCCAGTATCTTGACAAACAAACAATAAAAAGTTCACCTTTCTGCTAAAATAAGACCGTCGAAAACAAGACAATTTCATTGCTTTTTTATGAATTTTCATGCACTAAATGTATTTCAAAACTTCCATGAGACTTCAAAAGACTTCAAAAGACTTCAAGAGACTTCAAGAGACTTCAAGAGACTTCATGAGGCTTCATGAGACTTCATGATACTGCATTAGAATTCAAGAGACTTCAAGAGACTTCATGAGACTTCATTAGACTTCATGAGACTTCATTAGACTTCATTAGACTTCGTGAGACTTCATTAGACTTCATGAGACTTCATTAGACTTCATGAGACTTTATAAGACTTCATAAGACTTTATGAGACTTCATAAGACTTTATGAGACTTCAGAGACTTCAAGAGACTTTATGAGAATTTCTGAGAATTCATAAGACTTCAAAGAGACTTCAGAAGACTTCGAAAGACTTTCAAGATTTCATGGGACTTCACGACTGAAGTCTCTGCTGTTTCCCCCTTGGCACAAATGGAGCAGGCAGTGCTAGGTTATCAATGCATGAGCGGTGGCAACCGTTCGACAGCCAACTGGACCGGTGTATTCAATATGGCAAATAGATGTGATAAAACAACGTGTTGTTGTCCTTTAGGAGGGTGTGGGTGTGGATGTGCGTCTTCCCTTAACACCCACACTCACACCCTGAGGACTCCAGCTTTGTTGAGTCCCATGATGTCACCCACTACACCTGGATGAATTGTATTTCCATCATAATCAATTTTCATTAGTGATGATGCAGTAATTTCACAGTAGTTCAGACCCAATGGGTTGATCAATAAGTAACGTTCGACATTGGGACCAACCACATTACAAGTAATATGATTATAGATAGATTCTAACCATCCATGTTTCGCAGCTAGTCGATAAGTGGCAGCCAATTCGATTCTTGCTTTCTGTTCATCAATACTAAATTCGTGCAGGATAGAACGACTTAAACGTTCACATAGGTATTGACGAGAATATTTGTAGGAGCCAGCTACATAGGTCTTCGGATTGAATACATTTTGAAGATCTTCCGATGTAGTTCGTGATTTTGTGATTGCTTTCCCGTCTTTATCACGTGCTGTAGCTTCATTTGCGTTATTGTGGAAGCCATCATCATAAGGAGTAGCAGAGCTGTTTGAAATAGTAAGTTCTTCGGAAGATATGTCAAATAAGATCAATAATCACAATGTTAAAGGTAGGATCGAAAATATAATGTTTGTTTGATGATAGTATGAGCTTGTGTGTCGCTTGCAGTAGAGAAGAAAAGAAACAAATCTATCGCTCGCTTGGCACACTGACAAATGAAGAAAAAGAAAAAAAGCATCTGTATTCTCTCACTTGCAACAAAAAGCAGCGGCCATACTTTATCTCATTGTACATAACCCTTACATCTTGTTTTTTATATCATGCAATTAAACAAGCGCTCATCTTTCAATACACTCACCTTGGTTTTTCTCGTAAAAGATATCTCTAGCCATTATCAAAAAGAATCAAATGTTAATTAATAGATATGCTTCTCCGACTTAGAATTCATCAACTTTTCGAACTATGCTATTTCTTCCTTGATCGCAACCAAGATAAACTCAGTAGTATTCATACTGATGATACTCAACATGATCTATTTGTAATTTAACTGGTCAACATATTGAATAATTCAGACTATTCATGATCATCCTACCACATCTGGGCCTCACCTCACCATCTTCCTTCATCGCACGCATCTGGCCTAATCGATTTCTTGTTCAATGTTCTTGTCGACTCGAAAGGTGAAAGTCGATCGACGATGACAAAAGTCTTGAGAAGTGAAAAATTGGTTACTCATTTGTCTCAAACGAATGTGTTGACACAGAACAGAATCTGATTCCTTCATTGTCGATTCAACTTTGGTTAAGAAATGATTTTTAATATCTTGTTTTTCATTATAAAAGAAGGATATTTTTTTTCCTTTTCATGTTAACGCATAAATACGTTTCTTTTCGTTTTTTTTTCAGTATGCATTGAGTCGATGCTACATTTTTTAAGCCTTATTCGTATGTGGTTCGATTTATACAAGTTACAACTTGATGAAGAGTCAAAGGAGAACATTTTCAAGAAAAATTTTTTGTATATTTTGAAGTACTGTTGAGCAGTATAGAAAATATTGCCACTATCATCTTGTTTGTGCCATATATCATATATTCAATTTATGAATATCAAAAAATATAATGTCGTTGTCATCAGCCACTCTTTTTCATTCATATGATGTTCTATATTTTCTTAACCATCGTTTCTTATTGAAAGAT